ATATATATATATATTCTTATGAAAGGTATTTAAATTTTCAAACTATTTTTTTCTTATTAGTTTTAAATTTTAAGAAAAAAATTAGCAAGCACCTGTGTAATACACGGGTGTTGTGCTAGTAACTAATTAATTGTAAAACGTATTTGTAAAATACGTTTTATAAATCAAATTAGTTTTATAATTTATATTTAATTTTCTTCATTTTTGTTATATATTAGCTTATTTAATGAGGCGACTTCGGGTGTTCTGTCGGGCCTTGATAAGCGAGTTGAGCATTAATGAAAAGTGATTTCGAGAAAGCACAAGAAGAGGAGAAGCCGTTTGTGGCGTCGATTTATTATTTCGAGGTCCCGATCACTTATTTAGAGAAGCTCGAGTTCGAGGGTGCATATTAGTAAAATAAATAAAAAAGCCGTTTACGTGGGTACCGCAAGGCCGCGGGTGACTTCAGTTTACCGAGAATCAAGTTGGGACGTGTAGATGATTCAGGCACGATGCCATGCGGGGTATTTCTCGAGTATTTTAGAGTTCTGAGCATTTAAATAGAAAAGCTTGAATTCCCGTTGGAATAGTAGCAAAATGAGTGAATTTGTCATGGACGAGTTTTGAGCATTCGAGGTGACTTCGTGTGTTCCGTTGGGTCTCGATAAGCGAGTCGAGTATTAACGAAGAGTACTTTCGTGAAAGCACGAGAAGAGGAAAAGTCGTTTGTGGCGTCGATTTATTATTTTGAGATTCCGATCATTTATTTAGATAAGCTCGAGTTCGATGGGCATATTAGTAAAATAAATAAAAAAGGCCGTTTACGTGGATCCCGCAAGGTCGCGTGTGACTTCGGTTTACCGAGAATTGAGTTGGGACGTATAGATGATTCAGGCACGATGTCATGCGGGACATTTATCGAGTATTTTGGAGTTCCGAGCATTTAATTAGAGAAACTTGAATTCCCGTGGGAATAGTAGCAAAATGAGTGGGTTTATCAAAGGACGAGTTTTGAGCGTTCGAGACTTCATTTTTCTCGATTCTTTCAGTTTTTTGTCTATTCAAGAGGAGGTATAAATCTTGACTATCATTTTAGTTAATTTTCTGCTTGGACGAGTCCGAACGGCCCCAAAAGGCAAAGTCGCGCGAAACATGGTTAACGTATTGATCAAGAGCTTTGGGAGAATATGATTTCACGAATAATTTGGCCATGGAAGCATCATTGAATAGTGGGGTTCGTTAGCTACGTATAGAAAAAAAATGGAACTCAGTTCCGAGTTCAGACAAGTCCAAACGAGCCCGAAACACAAAATAAAAATCACCCATTAACAAATCCTCCATGGACCATCTATTTATATAATGAGTAATTTGTTAATTATTTAGCCCGTGAGGAATAGACGTAGCCCAAAAATTAACCCGACAATCATGGTTCTGTAGAAGGGTTCATTGGCGACATACAGGAAGAAGCGGAAAACAATTTCGAGCTTGGACGAGTCCGAACAGCCCAAAAAAGAAAGTCGCGCGAAACACGTTTAATGTATTGGTCAAGAGCTTTGAAGGAATATGATTTTGAAAATAATTTGGCCATGCAAGCATCATTGAATAGAGGAATTCGTTTGCTACGTATAATAGAGATGTCAAAATGGGTCGGCGGGCTGGACTGGCCCGCAGCCCGCCAAAACCCACCATTTGGCGGGGCGGGGTGGGCCTGTAAAAGGGCAGCCCGACCCAACCCCGCCGCGGGCCGCGAGCTAGGCGGGCCAGCCCACCGATTTTTTTTTAAAAAAAAAAAAGAAAAAAAAAACTGATATCTCAGGGTCATATATAATATCTCCAAGAATGTACTGAGATGTTTATTAAATGACAAATGTTCCTTGCATATCCACCATGGTTACACATAACTGTTGTGCTCTTTTTTTTTTTTTTTTTTTTT